AGAGTCCATCCCCAATATCCAAGCTTGACATGTGGCATAAGGATCAGGGTCCAGTCTGTGTCTGGGATCAGGATCAGTGTGTGATCAGACTTGGGTTTAACTTATGGCACCAAGATAAGAACTCAGTGTATGACACCAGGATTGAGACTTAGTCTATGACATGGTCGTAGCAGGGTGAAATGCAGTATAAGATAGCAAGATCATGGCTTAATGTATGTTACCAGGATGGGGGCTTAGTCTATGATACCAGAATGGGGCTCAATGTGTGACACTAGGATTGGGGCTCAGTCCATGACATGGGATCAGTGCTCAACATGAAGGCAGGATGAGTCACAGTCTATGGCCCCAAGATCATGGCTCAGTCTATGACAACAGGATGGAGGCTTAGTCTATGATACCAGGTTGGGGCTCAGACTATGACACTAGGATGGGGGCTTAGTCTATGTCATGGGGTCATTACTCAACCTGACAGCAGGATGAGGCATAGGCATAGTCTATGATATCAAGATCATGGCTCAGTCTATTACACCAGGATCAAGGCTCAGTCCTGTGCCACCAGGATTGGGGTTCAGCCTATCACATGAGATCAGTGCTCAACTTGAAAGCAGAATGAGGCACAGTCTATGTGGCTCAGAATATGACACCAGAATGGGGGTTCAGTCTATGACACTAAGATCAGTGCTGAACCTGACAGCAGGGTGATCCACAGTCAATAACACCAAGATTCTGGCTCAGTCTATGACACCAGGATGGGGTCTTAGTTTATGATGCCAGGATCACGGTTCAGTCTGTGAAACCAGGATCAGAATTGATTCTGTCATTAGGTCAAGTTCAGCTTGTTCCTGGGTGAGAAGTTTCCATATAAAAACTAAATTCATCCCTAATCTTCCACCTTTAGCTTTTGGACCCCAGACTTTCAGGAGTCAGGGCAGGAGGTCCTGTCTTTGTCCCTGCAGGCTGAGGTGAGCTTAGCCCTCCTCAAAGCCCCTGCCCAATAGAGCAGGCAGACCCTGCAGCCTCTTCTGCTTCCACAAGGGGATCATCCCTCCCTACCCCCAAGCTCCCAGCAGCCGGCCCTACACCTGGCTTTCCTCCTCCTTCCCAGCCTGCTTGTTTGAGCCTCGATTTCCCTGAGTTATACACACCTCCTTGACTTTAGGGAGGAGAGGAGGGCAGATGTGAGGCTTAATGAAAATAGAAGAACAGATTCCTTCAACTAGCCAGGGATGGAACCTTAAGCCAGGCAACAGTGGCTCAAACCTATAATCCCAGATACTTTGCAGGTTGAGATTGGGAGGATCACGGTTTGAAGCCTGGACAAGAAGTTAACGAGCCTCCATCTCAGCCAATAGCTGGGCATGGTGGAGCCTAGCTATGTAGGAGGCTGTCACCCCAAGCTGTATGGAAGGCTGAGATCAGGAGGATCCAGTTTCAGAACAGCCTGGTGCAGGGGGGGGAAGCTCTTGAGACTCCATCTCAACAGAAAAAGCAGGGAGTGGTGGCCCATGCCTGACATCCCAGCTACTGTGGGAAGCTTAAAATAGGAGGATGTGGTCCAGGCTGGCCTGGACAAAAAATAAGACCCTATCTCAAAAACAAAAAGTACAAAAAGGGCTGAAGGTGTGACTCAAATGGTAAAGCACCTGATTAGCAAGTGCAAAGCCCTGAGTTCAAATCCCAGTACCACCAAAAATTAAAACTTCTTATTCTCAAAATTTACAAGTCAATGGCTTTTAGTATATTTGCAGAGTTGTGTAATCGTAGCCAACTTTAGAATACTTTAATCACCTCAAATAGAAATCAACACCTCATAGCTATCACCTCATAATTCTGCATTTTTCTCCAGCCCCTGGCTACCACGAATCTACTTTCAGTCTCTATAGATCCACCTGTCTTGAACATTTCCTATAAGTGGAATGTGTTGCTCAGCTTTCTGTCACTGTGACAAAATACCTGAGAAAATCAGCTCATGGTTTTGGAAGTTTCAGTCCACATTCGCTTGGCTCTGTTGTTTCTGGGCTGTGATGGGGCAGAACATCATGGCGGGGAGCCTGTGGTGGAACAGAACAGCTCACCTCATGGTGACAGGGAAACAGAAAGAAAGACGGGGAAGGGCTGCACAGCGTCCAGTGACCTATGTCTTCCAAGTTGGCCCCGCCTCCTAGCACTTCCACCACCTCCCAACAGCCCATTAAGCCATGAATTCATTAATGGATTAATCCACTCATAAAATTCACTCACCTCCCAAAGTCCCCAGCTCAACACTGCTGCACGGGGACCATATCTTCAACACATGTGCTTTTAGGGGGACATTTAGGATTCAAACTACAGCATGGAAATAAGTAATACATGGGTTTGGGGGACTGGTTGCTTTGACTTAACATGTCTGCAAGGTTCATCCACGTTTTAGCTTGGGCAGAATTTTATTCCTTTTTATGGCTGCATAAAATTTCATTGTATGGCTATACCACGTTTTGTATGTCCACACTGATGGACATTTTGGTTGTTTCCATCTTTTGCTTATTGTGGATAATGCTGCTGTGAACAGTTGTGCACAAATTTTGGGGTGTGTGGTTGATTTCCATTCGTTGAGGCAGTAACTTAGGAATGGAATTTCGGGGTCATATGCTAACTCTGCTCTTAACTTTTTGAAACTGCCAGACTGTTTTTCTAATCTCCTTGTTCTTTTTGTATGCATGCATAAGTGCACATGACTCTTTTTTCCCTTCATCTATTTATAAAGTGTGTTTATTTCCACTTTGGCTATTTTCTGCTGGTCTAGTTATCTCCCAGAGGCCCCAGCAATTTTGCATTCATATTTTTATACCCTTTTTCTCAAAGAAGACCCCCCAAACTGTATACTCTTCAAGTTCCCAAAACTTTGGACAATGGTTATACATACACAGCTGGGAGGAAAGAGAGAATGTGAAGTGGGTACAGATAGCTCTGTCCCATCCCCCCTCTTGACTCACCTCCCACTGGGATAAGGAGAATCTCTATCTTGTCCCCTCTCTGCTAGCTATGATTGTTATATGCAGGAAGACCACACAATGTATCCCCCCAAACTGGGAGTGTGAAACCCAGGATACTGCAGAAAAATATTCTCACTCAGCAACACAAACTTAAGACAGTCCCCAGCAACCTGGAAAATGAGGTCACCGAGCCACAGGGAAGCCAAGGTATAGAGTGAAGAGGAACCCAGCTTGACATTTCCAAAGGTGTCTGCCACTCCCCACCTCTATCTCTACCCCACCTCAGGCATATACTGCATATTCATATTCCTATGAACATGTTAGTCCATGTCTACATGTGTCTCCATCATCAGTCTGTTCTCTCTCCTCCACATTCACCCTCGTCCTGAGCCTCCAGACAATCTTCATCCATACATCCATACATCCATCCATCCATCCATCCATCCATCCATCCATCCATCCACCTTCCTGTCTATCTATTTACCCATCCATCTAGCTGTACATGCATACATCCTTCTGTTAAACCTCCTATCATTCATTCATCCATCCATCCACCCACCCTTCTATCCATCTCCATTCTCTCATCCTTCATTCCACCCATTCACACACCCATCCATGCATCCTCTTGGTTTCAGCAGGGCCCAGGGTGTGTTGGACAGGGAGTGCAAGGAGTCCAGCTATCAAGGCAATGAAACAATGCTCAGGAGAGGCACAGTGGCCTATGGAAGGTGGGGGCAGACAGAGATTTGTGTAGGAAGTGGATTGAGGTCTTTGTGCACATGGTATTAGAGTTGGAATGGAGGAGGATCTCAGGCAGCAGGTCCTTCAAACAGGGACAAGACTAAAAGGCAGAACTTGGGACACAGCCAGGGTTAGACCAAGAGATCAGCTTCATATAAACTCCCTTAGAACTCAACTAGGCAGGGGGTGCCTTTGCTGGCTGCAGTGTGGAGACTGGGGAATAAGCAGAAAAGGACTCTGCCCAACACCTAGGATCAAGCCAGAACACCTGCCCTCCTGGAAGGCAAGAATGGTGGCTAAGAATAACCAAGTATCCAGGCTAATGCACGCCACATGGTACACCCCTTTGCCCTTGCCAAAGTCCTGAAAGGTGGTCCTTTGTCACACCCACTCCCAGATGAAGAAACTGAGGCTCAGAGAAATGTCTTCTCCAAACACATGCAACCACTCCTGACAGGTCCTGGAAGGAACAATCTGGTGGGTCCCACATTCCTTGTTTTCTCTCCTATATTGTGCTTCCCAGAGGTCCCCAGAATTCTGAAGCCTTTAGGACTCAAAATTCAGAAGCAATATAAGCTAGGGGAGAGGAAGAAGGAGATTGAAGTCCCACTGTCTGAGACACTCCTGCAAATGTGTGGACCCAAGCCTCCAATGCTTGCATTGGGTCTATGGATCCATTAGCATCCTCTGCACATGAGCTCTTTTGGCTAAAGCAGAGATGTCATCTCTTGAGCCAATGTCATCTCTTGAGCCAACTTCAACTGACTGGTGATGGCTGCTGGCAAAGGTGTGCTCGGAAAAATACTAAGGGAGAAATAACTCAGCAGAAAAGAGCCTAGTGACTGGCTAGAAATCTGCACCACTGGCTTAGGATGGGGAAGAGGCAGGTGCATACTGGCTTCAAGATCCTTGAAAGGAGCTGGGTGCAGTGGCTTACACCTGTAATCCTAGCTACATAGAAGGCTGAAATTTGGAGGGTTGTCATTTGAGGCCAGCTGGGGTAAATAGTTCACAAGACCTCATCTTCAAAACAACTAGAGCAAAATGAACTAGAGGTGCAGCTCAAGTGATAGAGTGCCTGCTTTGTAAGCATGAAACCCTGAATTCAAATCCCAGTCCTACCAAAAAAAAATCATTGAAATGTCTTTACCAAGACCTCAGCCCCCTCTCCCTATCATCAACCCATTGTCCAGGGCAAGCAGTAGCAGGCTCAGAACTCAGGACCTGGCTTCCCGTGCCCTCCCAGCTTAGCCCTGACACCTCATCCCTCCTTTCTTTGTAGGTTCTGAGCCCAAGCCATGTGTCCAGCCCTTTGACTCTGGAGCTGCAGCCTCAGCCACCAGGAGCAGCCGTGGACCCTGGAGACCTGAGAACCCAGATTTCTTCTCCACCATGGATGATGAGCAGGCAGGTGTCTGGCTGTAGGACAGGCAGGAGCTGATGACAATGGTAGCAGCAAGTACAGTTTGTTTAGCACCTGTGTTTACCAAGCACTTTATTTACATTAGCTCACAGAGCCCTCATCAAGGTGTGGCCAAGTAGTTATCCCGTTTAATGGTGATGAAGATGGATTCTCTCCAGAATAAGAAATGGGAGAGAAGGAAGGAGGGAGGGAGGGAGGGAGAGAGGGAGCAAGGAAGGAAGGAAGGAAGGAAGGAAGGAAAGAAGGAAGGAAGGAAGGAAGGAAGGAAGGAAGGAAGGAAGGAAGGAAGGAAGGAAGGAAGGAAGGAAAAAAGCAAGAAAGAGTAGATGGATAGGTGGATTGATGGACAGTGAATGGATGGGTGGGTAGGTAAATGGATGGATGGATGAATTGACAGATGAGTACATGGATGGAAAGAAAGAAGGAAGGGAAGAAAGATTGACGGATGATTTGATGGATAGATAGATGGGGTAGATGGATAGATGAAAGTATGAATGGATGGATTGACAGGTGGATAGATGGATGGCTAGGGTAGATGAGGAGTGGATGGATATATGGGTTGATAGAAGAATGGATGGATGGATGGGAGGATGGATAGATGAATGGATGGACAAGCAGAGAAAAGACAGAAGAAAAGAAGGAAGGAAAGAAGGAACTAGTTAAAACCAAATGCACCATAGAAAGGTGAGCTGATGTACCAAAGTTCCTGTAGTGAATGAGTCAAGATTCAAACCCAGCCTGACCCCCCACCTTGCCCTCTGCCCTCACACTTTCTCTAAGTGCTTGTCTTGGGAACCTAAGGATGAGGACAGGCCCTGGCTCCAGTCTCCAAGGGAAGACCATGAACGCTTGGGGTCCCTGGATAGAGTCAGGGGATGGTTCATGTCAGGTTCTATGCTGTTAGGCTAGAGCTGGGGCTGAGTCTTGGCAAAGGTTCTTATGACAACCTCCAGCCTGCCTTGTGGGGTGAGGATGAGGCTGCTAGGAGAGTAATCCTGAGAGGGAAGGGACTGAGGAGTGATCTGAACACAGTGCTGACACAGTACTGCCAAGGTCAGCGGTAGCCATATGGTGCAAGTTGGCTCGCCATGGAGAAGATTCTGATGGACTTGAACTGAGATGGTGTCTTGGTCCACTTTTCATTACTGTAACAAAATACCAAAGGCAGGGTACTTTATAAAGAACTCATGAATTTAGAGGCTGAAAATCCAAGGTTGGGCAGCCCCCATTGGTTTGATGTCTGGTGAAAGCCTGTATCAGTCAGCTTCTGGTTATGATGATGAATACCTGAGGACACTCACTTATGAAGAGAAAATGTTAATTTGGGCTCTTTGTTCTGGAGGGTTCCATCCAAAATCAAGTGTCCCCACTGATTTGGATCTCTGGCAGTGGAAGTACACCATGGCAGAAGTGGAGAGTAAAGCAAACCATTCATTTCATGAAGTAGAGAGACTGAGGCAGGGTCTCACAATTCCCTATCAGGGCACACCCCAATGTCCTAAAGACCTCTCAGTAGGCCCTGCCTCTTAAAGGCTCCACCACCTCCCAATAGCGCCATCTTGAGGACCAAGTCTTTAACACACGGGCCTTTGGTGATTAACTAGGAAGCCAGAGAGGCTGGGGTCCCCACAGTCCTCTCCAAGGACACATCCACAACTGACCCAAGGACCTCCCATTAATCTCCACCTGTTGAGAGAGCCGCCAAGCTTTGGGACAAGTCATGGCAGATGGCTAAGCCTTTATGCCCCCATATCACTCTGTGATTACAGGTGGGCTGCCTGGGAAGGGATGTGACTCCCAGGCAAGGGACTAAGAGCTGACAGTCCCTTCTACCCAGCATCTGGGATCTGGACCACATTTCACAAGGTCTATGCAACCAGGAGGCAGGACTCATTATGGCTAACCCATATAGGGCATCCACACGTCTGCACCTGTAATTTTGTAGAAGGGAATGCAGAGATTCCATCAGGGAAAGAGTTGGTAGAGTGGTCATGGAGGGACCAGAGGAAGTCACCTTAGGACCAGAGCTGGAGTGTAGGTCTGGGCCCTTCAGGGATCTGGACCACTTCCAATAGGAACCGTGGGGTGAGGACAGCTGTAACAGTCGGTGACATGGTGATAGAGAAATGATAGTCCCTGAAGAAACACCAAGCCTTGCTAACTCCTCCCCACAAATCTCTCCCTCTTCCTCCATCCTTGTCTGTGTCACAGTCACCAGAACTGAGGACCTGGCCATTGTCCTGGAACCCTCTCTCTCCCAGCAGTCACCAAGTCCCATAAACACTGACCCCTGAAGGGCCTCAGTTCTGCCCACATCTCTCCCTGATTCTCCCCCTGCTGTGGCAAAGCCCACCACAGTGGTTCACCAAGGTGCCCTGCCTGGGTGAAGATCCATCCAAACCCATTTCTTCTCTACAACTTGGGTCGTCTTTCTAAAAGCAAATCACAGTTCACTGTCCACCATGCTCTCTACTGCTTTTGGAAACTTCAAGGTCAAATCCTCACTTTGCCCCCCCCACCCATCCCTCACCCTCTGCACCTCCAGCCACAAGGAACATCTGTCAGTTGCTAGAAAGCACTGTGAGTTCTCCAGACCAATGGCTCTAGGTGTCCTATTCTTTGGTTATCAGGAATTTTCTCACCTGCATTCTCTACCTAGTTAACTCTTACTTATTCTTCAGGCTGCCTCCAGGAAGCCTCCTTGATACCCTGTGGAAAGGGCCAGCTATTCCTCCCTTAGTTCTTCCCCAGACCCTTCCTTGGAACTTTCTGTCATACTTGATTATAAAAGTGGGCTTAATTGTCTACCCTCTCCAGGTCGCCCTGTGGGGACAGGGAAATAAGTGACTCCATTTGGAGCTGTCATGGACTTCTTCAGAGGAAGGGACCTGACTCCTAAAATATAAAATCATGAGAATTGGGCACATTGGTTCATGCCTGTAATCCCAGCAATTTGGGAGACCGAGATCAGAAGGATCACAGTTCAAGGTCTGCCCAGGGGAAAAAGTTAACAAGACCCCCGTCTCAACGAATAAGCTGGGCACAGTGGCACATACCTGTCATACCAGCATAGGTAGGAGAATCACCACAGAAACTGGTCCTGAGCAAAAATTCGAGACCCTACTCAGAAAAATAACTAAAGCAAAAAAGGGCTGGAGGCAAGACTCAAGTGGTAGAGCACCTGCCTACCAAGCTCAGAATTCTGAGTTCAAATCCCAGTATTATCTGCCCCCCAAAAATTACCTGACACATAAAAACAACAATTATCTTCTTCCATTGATCAAGGGGTTGCCATGTGCAAGTTCTGAGCATACACTGCCCAAGCACCACTTCATTTTACCCCTGCAATAATCTATAAGAAGGCAGCAGTAGACTGGCAGAGTGGCTTAAGTGGTAGAGCACCTGCCTAGCAAGGGTGAGGCCCTGATTTCAAACCCCAGTACTGCAAAAAAAAAAAAAAAAAAAAAAAAAGAGGCAGCAGTATGCCCATTTCAGAGATGAGAAAACTGAGGTTTGGAGGGGTTTAGGGTCTTGTCAGAGGTCAGGCTAAGGTAATAAAAGCCATCACAGAAGTGCAAACATTGGCTGGGGTTTTTTCAAACAAGCAGTACATCTGCCCTCTTTTTTGTGGCATTGGGGTTTGAACTCGGGGCCTCACACTTGCTAGGCAGGCGCTCTACCACTTGATCCACTCTGCCAGTCCTACCATCTGCACTCTTAAGTTGACCATCCCTTATCCAAAATTCTTGGGAACAGAAGTGTTTCTGATTTCGGATGTTTTTCAGATCTGGGAACACTTGTTTCTACATGATGAGATATGGTGGCAGGTGCTCTACCACTTAGGCCACTCCACCAGCCCTTTTGCTTTAGTTTATTTTTTAATGTCGACTCTTGCACTTTTGCTCAGGGCCAGCCTCAGCCCTCAATTCTCCTGCATAGCTGGGATTACAGGCATATACTATCATGCCCTGCTCAAGTTGCTTTTTTACATGGCAAAATGGGACCAGAAAAATAGTTCAAAGTTGCTTCAATGTTAACTTTCTCTAGTAGACAATGAAGTGAATAACTATTTACATTTTTTTAAATAAAAGTGTATTTGTGACTCAGGAGTCGGAGACAGGAAGACTATGAGTTCAAGACTAGTTTGGGCTACATAGCAAAGATGCAGTCTCAAAAAACCTGGGCTGGGGGTAAGGGGGTGATTCAGCAGTGGGGATGGCCTTACCTAGCATGTGCAAGACCCTGGGTTCCATCCTTGCGCACCCCCAAAAAGATGTATCTATGTGCTATCTGAAATTGAATGTGTGCCAGGACCTTCTGAACAATGGGAAATCCTGGGATGGGTTGCCTTGGTGGGAAGAGGGGGCAGCCCATCCCCCAAGGCTCCCAGGTCTGGTAGTGGGTATATTTCATCCTCTGTGGTTGTCAGGGCTGGTGTGTAATGTTTAATCAGATGCCTGGAAAGGCCCCCTCTGGGCTGGGCTCCATCTTTTCTCACCCAGGAAATGAGTTGTTGGACAGGTTGAAGTTTCCAAGCAAAAGACAAGGCTCCTCTCACCCTCCCTCAGTGTACCTGCTGCTACAGGGACAAGCTGTGCCCAGTGCCTCCCCCCCTCGACTCTGGCCTGGCTCCCACCTCTGCCTCCGATGAGGGAGGCTAGATGCCAGGGAAGGAGGAAGGCGGGCCCCTGGCCCAGAGACTGTCCTGACAAGTTTATATTTACAGGAGATGAAAACCAGGGACAAGAGGAAGCCTTGGGGGGCAGTGGCGAGAGAGCTGGGAGTCAGGAGGAGGTCATCCAGGCACCAGGACAGGAATGGAACAACATAGGGGAGAGGCGAGATCCAAGAGGTGGCTGCCACCAAAGATGCAGGAGAACAAATCTGTCCTGGTGGACTCCAGCCTGGGCCAGACTGTGGGTATTTAGAATGACACTGAAGAGGGTGGTGGCATTTTAAAAACTGAAGGAGCAGCTGGGTGCTGGTAGCTCACACCTGTAATCCTAGCTATTCAGGAGGCAGAGATCAGGGGGATTAAGGTTCAAAGCCTGCCCCAGGCAAATAGTTCACAAGAACTTATCTTGACAAAAAAACCATCACAAAAAAGGGCTGGAAGAGTGGCTCAAGTGGCAGAGCACCTGCCTAGCAAGTGTGAGGCCCTGAGTTCAAATCCCAGTGTTGCCAAAAAGAAAAGAAAAGATAAAAAAGAGTAAGAAGAAGTAGAGAAGGAGCCACCAGGGACATCCAAGGGAAACAAGAGCAGTGTCCATATAGGAGAGGTGGGAGAAGATGATGGGCTGAGAAACACAGTGTGACAACAGTGTGCAAGTCACATACAATGAATCACGCGAGATGCCATACGATGCTGCTACTTCTGGTATGCCAAGAATTGAAAGTAGGGCCAGGCATGGTAGTTACAAATAAATCCCATCATCCTGCAGATGATCATGAGTTCAAGGCAAGCCTGGGCTACCTAGTAAGATCTTCTCTTGAAAAAACAAACAAAAAAGAAGTGAAAGCAGGGACACAAGCCATGTTTGTACACTCGTGTTCTTAGCAGCACAATCCACAACAAAAATGGCAGAAGCAACCCAAGTATCCATGCATGGGTGAATAACAACACAAATATTCGTATGGCAGATAGAATATTACGCAGCCTTTAAAAGGGAGCATTTTGTCACATGCTACCATGTGGGTGGATCTTGAGGGAATGATGCTTGGTGAAAGAAGTCAGACATGCACTGCAGGACTCAGACGGGAAGTAGGATGGTGGGTGCCAGAGGCTGGGGTGGGGAGGGAGTTAGTGTTGAATGGGGACAGAGCTTCAGTTCTGGAGACAGATGTTGGGGACAGCTGCACAGCCATGCGAGTGTGCTCAATACACTCAATTCTCCACTGAAAATAGTTAAAATGGTAAATCTTATGTGTATTTTGCCACAACAAAAAGGAGGACAAGGCCAAGTCCACAGAGAACAGTGAGGGTGAAGTGCCCTGCAGGTCCCCTGCAGTGCTGCCCCCTGCAGGCCAAATTCCACAGTTGCCCAGGGCCTAGATTTGGGCAGAATATTTTTTCAGCATCAAACTGGAAGTGTCTGAAATCCCCACACCAGGCTAGAGCAGGACCACCCATTCTTCTGGCTGAATCGTCCCAGGGTAGGCTGCGAAACTGAGCAAGTAGAAGTATGAGACAACCAGCTAGATTTGAATTTCAAATGCTGAAATATTCAGATGTGTGTGGTGTGTGGCACTGAGGCTTGAACTCAGGGCCTTGTGCTTGCCAGGCAGGCGCTCTACCACTTGAGCCACTTCACCAGCCCTGTTTTTTTATGTTGGGTATTTTCTTTACTTTTCTAATTGTTGTGCTGGGTGGGGGTACATTGTAGCATTTACAAAGGTTCTTACAATGTATCAAATATATCACACTTGAGTTCATCCCTCCATTGCTCTCTTTCATCCCCCCTACCCTGATTCCTGCAACTGTTTCAACAGGTATTATTTTTGCATTTACATACATCTGTACACATTATTTGCACCCTAGTCCCCCTCCTACCTCTTTCCCTGCCACCTCCCCCTCCCACCAGTGCCAACCTCCTCTTCCCAGCAGGACCTGTTCCACCCTCCTGTTCTCTGATGTTGTAGAAGAAAAAACATAAAAGATAAAAAGAGAAGCATGGCATTTTTGATGGTTTGAGATTGAGATAGCTACACAGGGAGTTTCCTTGTCTTGTGTTGTTGCCATGCATATGTGTATTGCAACCCCAACTGGTTCATCTATCAGTTCTCTTCACTCCTCCCTAGTCCACTTTCCACAGTGGCCCCAGCCAGTTTAAGATTTCTATATTCATTCCTGTACTGTGAGCATATCTATGTTGGTTTTTTTTCGAGATAGAGTCTTGGTAACTATAATGCCCAGCTGACTTTGGACCACAATCTTCCTGAACTCTGCTTCTTGAATAGCTAGGATTACAGGCTTGAGCCAGACACCTGGCCCTCCACCTCCTCTCCCACCCCCACTTTTAAAAACAATTTAACAGGTTTCATTATTATGATGTGTTTTATGAAGAACTGGAAGGGAGGGGTTCAAAGCCACTCAGATGTTTAAGGAGATGGAAATGCTCATTAGCCTGATTTGGTCATTTTGCCTTGTGTACAGGTATCAGATTATGACAATATGCCCCATGAATATGTACAATTATTTAATGTGTCCATTAAAATTAAAAAGAAGCTGAGTGGATGGGGCAAAGGGGAGTGTGTATATTTTGTAAGATGATCAGACAGAAACAATGAGGTGAGCCAGAGCTGGGCAAGGAAGCAGGGATTGGGCATGGAAGTCCTTTTGGAGAGTGAGGCCTTGAAGGCCCAGGTTAAACAGAGTGCCAGAGGGACAACCCTCCATCCCATCCCCATGCTGTGAGGACAGGGCTGAGCTCAGGTTGGATAGAGAAAGAAAGACAGGGTCTCCTGACTGGAGACAATTCTTCCGCTTCCTCCTCCTCCTTCTTCCCCCCTTCTACTTTCTCCTCTCCTCCTCCTCCTTTTCCTCCTCCTCCTCCTGCTTTTGTTTTTGACACAAGATCTCACTATGTAACCCATGATCCTCTGCCTCCATCTCTCGCGTGCTGGAATTACAGGTGTGCCACCAAGCTCGGCTAATACCTTCTTCTTTTACTGTCCCTACAGGAGGATGATTTTCCAGGACTGCTCAGCGAGAGCTCAGAAGACCTCGGTCTGGACTTGGGGGCCCTCCAGGGCAGCGAGTATCTCCAGGACCTGGGCTTAGGAGAGCCTCCCCACAGCCAGCCTGGAGGAGCTACAGAGAGTGGGACCCCTGTCAAGGAAGCTGGAAGAGACTCCTCCTTCTCCTGCTCAGCAGGGGCCCAGGCCCTGCCTCGCAGCTGGGAGAGGTCCCGAAGTTGCTCTGAGGGCTGGCATAGGTCAGCTCTCCACCACTGCCTACCCTCTGTGATGCACCCTCAGGGCAGGGAATGGGTCTGGGAGGCCAGAGCCAGATCCCAGGACACTGTTGTGTTCCTGTGGCCCTAGAGCCACCAGGGGTGTCTGTGCTATCAGAGGCAGCCCAAATGTGCTTGCATGAACACATATGTGCATACACAAACATAGAGCCTTGTGGGGGTGCAAGCTCACACCAACACTGCAGAACACATAGATTCAAACACACACATTTGCCTGTGCACACCGGTATATACATATGCCTAGCCACAAACTTGCACCCTTGCCCTGTAAGACCCATGAATGTTAGTTAGTCTGTAAGCAGTGTGGTTTGCACACTACCTGCACACATATGCACAAAGCCATAAAATCATTTGTGATCAAAACACAGATATGAACCCAGCATGGTGGTACATGCCTGTAATCCCAGCACTTGGGAGGCAGAGGCAGGAGGATCGTGAGTTCCAGGCTACTCTGGGGCTTTCTAGTGAAAACTTGTCTTTATGAAACACAAGGCTGGTAATGTAACTCAGTGGTGAATCCCTGGCCCAGCACGTACAAGGCTCTGGGTTCCATCCCTAACACTGCAGAAACAAAATGAAACAAAACACCACAGCTATGTGCTTTGCTCCTTGCACCCCACACTACCAGCATCAAATAGCAGAGGAGGTGCTTCAGTCACTCTCCCTCCAGTGTCCCTCAACCCCTCCCAAGGCACCCCAAATAGGACTCTAGTCTGTGCCAAAAGGATGGATATGTGATGCAAGTGTGGCTTTGACATCTAACCATGCTCCCCCTATCCCTCCCTGCTGAGGCAGACCCCACTGATATTGGGAGGCCTGGGGCCTGCCCCCCTTCCTTACCTGAGGGGCCTCTTGCAGGTTCCCAGAGTTTCTGAATGCCTGGAGCAGTGATCAGGTGGACAAGATCCACTGAAAATGAATATCCGCCTTCTTCCACAGGCTCAGCTTTGATGCCTCAGCTGTGAAGGAGGGACCCTGTCTCCCTCGAACACTGGCTAGCCTCACTCTAAATCTGTCTGTAGAGGGACTGAAGACCTGGACCCAAGGGTGTCTGACTGGGAGTGGGATCCCTGCAGAACACCCGAGCAAGGTGGGTGTAACCTCTGGGTCCAGAAGTGCAGTGTGTGGGAGGGAGCTCCCTACCCACAGCTCAATTATCATGGCGAGGAAGGATGAGGGGTGAGGTGTAGCCCGTGACTGGGTCATCCAGCTGAGATTCTATCTGGAATAATCTCCCATCACAGGCTGGGAGAGTTATAAAGAAAAGAGTTACCAAGCATGGTGGTACATGTCTATAATCCCAGGTACTCAGGAGGTAGAGATTGGGAGAATCGAGGTTTGAGGCTAGCCCAGGCAAAAAGTGAGACCTAAGCTGAAAAATAACTAAAATAAAAAGATCTAGAGATGTGGTTCAAGTGGTGGAGTACCTGGCTTGCAAGTCCAGGGCCCTGCGTTCAAATCCTAGTACTTCAAGGAAAAAATGTTTATCATGGCTTATTAGTCTGGAGATCAAGGGCTGGTGTCTGGAGACAGGCTTCAGGTAGGCAGAGTTCTGGAGCAGTACAGGAATCACAGGGCAAGAGTGCATGTGTATGCTTTTGATCTCTCTCCCTGTCCCTTCTTATAAAGCCCTCAAGATTCGGTTATGGGGACTCTGCCCTAATGATCTTACCTAATTATAATCACCTCCCAAAAGCCCTACCTCTAAACACCATAGGAGGGCTGACCAAGTGACCTAAGTGGTAGAGAGCCTACCTAACAAGTGTGAAGCCCTGAGTTCAAACCACAGAACTGGAAAAAAAAATTAATAAACACCCTAAGAGGATTAAGTTCCCATCCTCTTAATACCTGAAAATAGGGATTAGACTCCAACACAAGTTTCAGAGGAGCCAAGCCACAGACAAACTTTAACAGCATCCCAGGACTGACAGGGTCTTTCCCAGGGAGGGCAAGTTCCTGTGGCAGGAAAATCTTCACTGCAAATGCAACCAATGGGCTGGGGAAAGTGGGAGGCTGGCCCCTCATCCTGAAGCCCCAGCCAGGCTTGGAAGAACTGTGCCTGGGGTGTAGCCCATGGCAGGAAGGAAGCTGTGTCTGGTGGGGGTGTACAGCTGAGGGGGTTTTTCTGCTGACAGCTAGGAATGTATGCTTGGGGCTGTGGGCTACACCTGGGACATCTTTGCCCATGAACTTGACCCACAGGGGAATTCTTATTCCTTTGGCTTTGAGTCCCAGGACTTCAGCTAACAGCTGGGGGCTCATGGGCCAGGACCTTAGTCCTTGGCTGGAGGGAAGGAGGGGAAGAGGGAGCCCTGACTGAAGCTGGGAACTAGAGCTGGGGTGGGGGAAGTAGGTTGTCCCCAGTTTCTATGGATGTGGTCCTTGCCATGCATGGCTGGGGACTCTCAGCCTGCTGCCAATGCTGTCTCCCAGGCTCAAGGACGTGCTCTTTCCCCACAGGAATCTGGCAGCTCAGAGAAAAGAGGGAGGTCAAGGTCAGTGCCGCTGTCCAGTGATGAGATCAGCTCTCTGGAACTGGCTCCAGGTTTGGAAGTGTCTACTCCACTTGGGCAAGGTAGCCTGGCCTGGGAGTTTCCCTCATTCAAACCAGTTATGTGGGGGTGGGGATGGGATTTCACTGGACTCTGGAAGGGAAAGGGGCTGGTGGAATGGGTGTAGGGTCCCCGGGTAGAATGCTGAGTCCTGCAGGTCCAGGGAGGGAGTCTCTGAGGGGCCCCAAGCCAAGATGTAGCTGCAGCTTTGCAGGGACCTTGCTCCTGCCCTGGGTCTCTGTCTTTTCTCTCTTTCTTTACAGCCCTTTTTGTCTCTGAACCTCTAGCCAAAGAGCTTGCATCTCTCTAGTGTCACTCAAACTTGTTGTCTAAATCCAAATATGCCACTTGGGGGCAGGCCTCTGAACCTCTGTGACTTCCTCTCTAAAAAGGGACAGTAAGTGTGTTTCCTTAGGGTCATTGGGAGAGTTAACTAGGCTCTCTCAGGTCAAGTGCCTAGCACATCACAAGTGGACACCTCCCCTGCTGGACCTCTGTCCTCGTCCCACCTCTCCTTCTTGACCTGAGAGTAGCAGGTCTCACCCAGGCATTCTTAAGTCCTGAAGGGGATTGGGGTGGCCAGTGTAAGGCTGGTCCCTCACCGCTGTGCCCCCTGGGGTGGGGACTTCTTGTAGGCCTAGAATCCCCAGTCTTGAAGTGTCTGGAAAAGGACCAGGTGGAACCGGACCATGTGTGAGTGTCTGCCCCTGTGACAGGGACATCCCCAAGTGGACTGCCTGGGGAGGGGGGGAGCTGGGCAAGGCTGGGAGTGGCCAGTGCAAGAGTAGCATTGCTAGTTCTGATTATGGTCAGCCACCATCTGGTGTAGCTTCCCCATAACCTAGAGTTTCTTTCCACATTATGCTTCCCCCAGGCCCCACGGAAGTGTTCTCTACACAGCGTCAGGATCCCGTTAGGGTCTGCCTCAGGACTCAGGGCTGGTTGGGCAGTCATGGCCCATGTTGGGAAAGGCATATATAACTCCAGGTGACCATGGGCTGTTTTCATTCCCCCCATTTGCAGGCTGATTGTGCAACAGGTGCTGCAAGAACTTCGACAGTATCATGGGTAAGTGGAAGGGAGACAGGTGTGAGGGACAGGTGTGGGGGATGGGCATAACAGTGGGCAGGTATGGGGACCAGGTGTGGGAGAGGACAAATGTGGAGACAGGTTAGAGAAAAGTATGGGATGCACAAATTTGGGGAACAGGTGTTGAGGGACAGAAATGAGAAGACATGTATGGGGATAGGTATGAGAGTGGACAGCTAGGGTATAAAAAAAACTGGGCCAAATGCCAGTGGCTCACACCTATAATTCTAACTGCTTGGGAGGCTAAGATTGGGACAATTGAGGTTCAAGACCAGCCCGGGCAAAAAAGTTTGCAAGACTCCCGTTTCACCTGGGAACAGAAGCTGGGCATGGTGGTGCACACCTGTCATCTCTGCAAGAGTACGAAGCTTAAAATAAGAGAATTGCAGTCCAGGCCAGACTAGGCAAAGAGCAAGACCCCCATCTCCAAAATAACCAGAGCAAAAAGGATTAGAGGTGTGGCTCAAGTACCACAGTACCGGTGGCTCACACCTGTAATCCTAGCTACTTGGGAGGCTAAGATTGGGAGGATGGAGCTTCAACACATCCTGGGCCAGCCTGGGTTGCATAGTGAAACCCTCTCTCAAAACATACTACTACTACTAAATATATATATTTATATGTATGTATGTATATATGAACACAGGGAGAAAAATGGGACAGGATAGGTGGGAGAACAGGGAAGAAGAAAGCTGGCGTTAGTTTGGTGGACGATTGAGCAAATGAGAAAAGGGACCTATTCACCTGCTAGAGATTCAGCCAAGACATGTTACTGCCCTCTGCTGGAACACTTGTCATGATGTCCCTGTGTGCAACAGGATGGTGGAGACATAGCCCAAAGCCCTGGGAGGGAGGAGGAGCAGGAGAAGGGACAGGCTGGCTGTTGACACAGACATCTGTCTCTTCTGATCCCACAGGGCCCGTCAGCGGGCTCGAATGTCCACCAGCCCTGAAGGAACCCACTCGAGCCTCACCTGGTTTGAGTTCCTTTCTGAGTAAGTACAAAAAGCTGCAGCAGGTGGCCATGGTGGGCCTCTGGCCAAGCCCCCTGAGCATTGACTTCATCCTAAAGAGCAATGGGAGCTGGATGCTGGTGGCTCACACCCGTAATCCTAGCTACTCAGGAAGCAGAGATCAGTAGGATTGTGGTTGAAGCCAGCCCGGGCAAATAGATCAAGAGACCCTATCACAGAAAAAGGACTGGTGGAGTGGCTCAGGGTGTAGGTCCTGAGTTCAAGCCCCAGTACTACAAAAAAAAAAGAGTAAGGAACTTCAAGAATAAATATCAGTTCTGGGTCCCAGACTCCCTTCCTCTCTCACTCACTCACTCAACAAACATTTATGGGTATTAGATTAGCAAAGTTCAAGGGGCCATGTGAAGTAAAGAAATAGAGTTTCCCTCTAGGAAATCGATTCTGCCAAGGCTGGAAGCATGCATAGCTGGCTTGTTCATCACTGACTTTGTTAATATTTTTTTATGGTACTGGGATTTGAACTCAGGGCCTCATGATTGCTAAGCAGGTACTCTACCACCTGAGCCACACCCTCAGCTCTTTTTTTGCTTTTGTTATTTTTCAGGTAGGATCTCTGGGTTTTGCCAGGGGCTGACCCGGACCTCAATTCTCCCACATAGCAGGCACCACCAAGCCCAACTTTTTGTTGAGATGGGGGGGGTCTCAATAACTTTTTACCTGGGCTGGCCTTGAACTTTGACCCTCCCAATCTTTGCCTCCCAAGCAGCTGGAATTATAGGCATGAGTCACCAAACCTGGCTGTCCTTGGTAATATTTATTAAATGACAGACAGTCTTTGGCATGGAGCACTGGTGGGAGGTGTGAAATATAAAAACAGGTGATATCAAGCCTAGTTAGACATGAGGTGGGGGTTGGAAAGTATGAATTAGAGGGAAGGATCAGAGGTGGACCAAACCAATATTTCCAGCCCAGGCTTAAGACCATGTTGCATTTCCCCCTCTACAAACCTAGCCCCTTTGGCTCCCAGCACTGCAAACATCCATGAATGTTTGTTGAGTGAATGAGGGAGGGAGGGAGCTAGAGAAGCAGGGATCACAATAGAATTAAGAGGCCACAGAGACACAGATTCCAGGTGGATTCCAGGTCACCTCATACAGTTTCCTCAGAAAAGCCCGAAGCCCCCTCCTTATCAATCTTATCCCCCCACACATCAGGAGCGAGGACGGTGCCGGCAAGAATGAAAAGAATGACAAGAGCACCAGAGTGAAGCGTAGCCTGAGCTGCCTCCGCAGCCGGGTCACCAGGCAGAAGGAAAAGGTCAGGGGGCTGGGGGTGGCGGACCTCTTCCTTCACCAGCTCCATAGAACGTCCTTGACACAGGAGCTCTGGGATTGAAGCCGAGGCTGAATGCACAGGCCATAAAAGGTCCAGCCCGTGCAGAACGTGTCCTGAATCCCACCTCGGTCCCATACAGGGGAAGAGCCCTGCACATCTCAAGGACAAGGCTCAGGATGCTCGGGAGAGGCGAGAGTGTGTCAGCGGCCACCAACTGCTACGAGAAACCTTCTCGGGCCACTCCAGCTGTCCCCTGTGTGGCAAACCTTTGCTGAGCTCTGGTGAGTCCATGGTCCTGCCTGTCTAGCTATGCCCTGGACAGCAGAGAATCCTTCTAATCACTGCCACTGCCTCCTTTGCAATGTACATCCTCATTCCCTGTCACCCTTGCCCACATTTGTGGGCAGATCTCAGTGGCTCCCTGGAGAGAGCCAGCGATGGGTTGCTTAGGACAGGAGCTCTTTGGTGACCTTGGAACTGGAAAAACTACCTTTGTCATAGCTTTTGCCGCCTCAAAAATCCCCCTGCAGAATCTGACTCAGGCAGGGGATTCATTTGCTTGGGGAGGAGGGGAGACTACTGTGATAAAATACCCTACAGTTCTGGAGGCTGGAAATCCAAGGGAAAAGTATCAACAGGGCCAGGTTCCCTGAAAAGGTGCCAGGGGGACTGAAGGGTGTGGTTCAGTGGTAAAGCACTTGCCCACCATGCCCGGGGTTCAATCCCCAGTCACACACACACACACACACACACACACACACACACACACACACACACACACCCCTACTAGGGACAGACCCACTCCAGGCTTCTCTCCTGGCTGCTGGTACCTCTTTGGCCTGTGACACCAAATAATTCCAGTGTTCTCTGTGTATGTGCCAGGGTCCTAACATCCCTCTTTTTTTTTTTTTAATTGTTGTGCTTGGGGGTACATTGTGGCATTTATAAAAGTTCTTACAATATATCAAATATATCATACTTGAATTCACCCCTTCCATCATTCTCCTTTATCCCTCCTCTACCCATTCCTAGACTAACATCTCTCTTCAATAACACCAGTCATGTTGGATTAGGGGCTCAGCCTCCTCCAGCATGACCTCACCTTAACTAAGTACATCTGCAACAACCTTATTTCCAAATAAAGTCACATCCAGAAGTGTGTGTGAAGGGGACTGCAACATATGAACCTGGGGGGAGAGGAGATAAATCAGCCTGTAACAAGCAGTTTCTGCCACCCCTTCCTCCAGGGCTTTCTGAAGCTGCAGGGTGGGGATGGCAGGCAAGAGTCCCCACTCAGAAAAAAAGTACCAGGTTCCAGAAGCCCAGGAGGAGAGGACTCTGGTTGTCACTGGAATTTAGAACTTTGCCCTTTTGGAACTGAGCCTGACTTTAAAGGGAATGAAGAGGTGGCTGTAGCAACTGCCTGTTAGAAAAGATGAGTGTGCACATTGTAAACCATCTGCAGGCAGGTCTCAGGCAAGTTCAAGGTTCCTGGACCCCACACTGTTGACATTTGGGGTCAGGTAATTCCTTGTCTTAGAGGGTTGCACTGTGCAGTTTAGGAGGTTGATAGCATCCCTGGTCTTGACTCACTGGAGGCATCTAGCTTGCCTCCAGTTATGACAGAAATGTCTTAAGACATTGTCAAATTCCACCTCTGTGAGAGGCAGAATTGCCCCTGGGGAGAGTCAGCTGGCTAAACACATGGTTTAACAGGCCCTGAGGTAGCTCTGGACCATGCGATGAGAACAATGTTGCTATCCACGGGGCAGGTGTCTCCAGGTGACCTGAATGGCAGGTTTTGCATTTCGTGGCTTTACCTGTCCCAGTCATGCATGTTTTCCTTCTTCCTCCTTCCCCTTCTTTCCAGAATGCCATTTTTCTGCCTAAGGGGTCATGGGTGTCCCTTAGTGGCCACTAGTATCAAGGGTGTCCTACTTTGAACTTTCAACCAGCCTTGTAAATACAGAAGCTGTCTTCAGCCCAAGGCTAGCATGAGCCTTGCATTGCCTTCATCCTGACCACTGTAGCAGAGTCCTAAGGTCCTTAGTTTTAATTGGCAGGTAACTTCCTGATTCTGCTGGTGTCTTATTTTCTTCTGCAGGTGCTGAGGTCCCTGGATCCAACATAGGCATCAGAGTCAAGGGGCACATGGGAGGCTGGCAAAAGGAAGGGTGGTACCCAGAAGTTTAGAGAAAAGACAGCATACACAGGGCGGGTGCTGGAAGCAGCTTCTGAAAATGCCTGTTTGAACAGCACCAGGTGGAGCTACACCCTCATTTTTTTTTTTTTCTTTTGTAGCTCAGGCCAGTCTGGAACTCACAATGTAGCCAGGCTGGTCTCAAACTCGTGATGCCCCTGTCTCCTCCTCCAAAGGGCTGAAGTGCTAGGATTATAGTTGTATGCCACGGGGCCTAATAAAACTCCTCTCTTCTTCTTCTCTCTCTCCTTCCTCCCCTTCCTCTTTTCCTTATCTTTCCCCTTCTTCTTTTTCCTTCTACTTCTTCTTTTGGAGCATGGGCTCACTGTGTAGTCCATTCTGACTTTGAACTCATGAGCCTCCTGCCTCAGTCTCCCAAGTGCTGGGATTATAGGTGTGTACCTAACCTTTTACACTGCTAGTTTGTTTTTTTAAATTTTATTAGCATATAATAGTTTTAGAAGAGAAGGGGATACATTGTGATATTTACATATGTGCTTACAATATATCTTGGTTGGATTCACACATCCATGGTCTCCCTTTTCCCCCTCCCCCCTTCTTAGAACAACTTCGACAGGTTTCATTCTGTTTTCATATATGGATATAAAACACATCCACCATATTTGCTCTCATTTCCCCTTTCCTTGTGCCCTCCCCCTCCCACTGGTACCCACCTTTGGAAAAGACCTGTTTTTCCCATCTGCCCTTCATTTTTTTAAGTGTATATTGATAGTCCAGACTGCTAGTTTCTTGCTCATTGTTATCCTTTCATTTCTGTTCCTGCTTTTCCATTGCTTCTCGGAAAAGAAAAAAAAAAAGTCCTGAGGTCTTTAAATTCCATTTTTGTGTCATCAAAGAACTGTGTCTGTGTGGTCCATGGATCTGCAGGCCCACCATCACTGGGGAATTTAGATTTCTCAGTACAGAATTTTCATTTTAACAAGTCACCAAGTGATCTGTGTGGCCTCAGAGTTTGCTAAATGCTCACTGCTATTCTGAGGCAGATTTCTCCACTTCCATCCAGTGACATTCCTTCTTCCACATGGAGACCTAGCCTGGGCATTATTTTGCAATGCCCAGGATTCAATAACTGTTGAAGGACATCTCTGGCCCTTAGGCTCACTTGATGTCAATAGCCAATCCTTCTTGCCCCTCGTTGTCACCATCCAAAATGTCTCCTGACATTAGCAAATACCTCTGGAGACAAAAATCACCTCTGGTTGAGAACTTCTGCTCCCAGGAATTCCCTCATCCAGACAAGATGTCCTCAGTCCCCATAAACATCATTGTGCCACTCTCAGAAGCACTCAGGTCAAGTCCAGCCAACCACCTGTTTTGTTTCCTGTACGGCCTGTAAACTAAAAACGTCTTCACATTTTGTTTTCAGTGGTACTGGGGTTTGAACTCAAGACTTGGCGCTTGCTAAGCAGGTGCTCTACCACTTGAGTCATGCCTCCAGCCCTTTTTGCTCTGATTATTTTGGAAATAGGGTCTGGCTTTTTGCCCAGGCTGCCCTGAACCATGGTCCCCCTATTTTACACTTCCTACCATAGCTGGGATGACAGGCATGCACCGCCACACCCAACTTTTTTCCAGTTAGATGGGGTCTCTCAAACTTTTTGCCCTGGATCCAGGTCTCAGACTCCCAAGTAGCACTAGGATTACAGGCATGAGCCACTGGCATCCTGCTTCTTTTTATATTTTTCAATGGTTGAAAATGATAATTTTGGGACATAAAATTTGCACTTCAGACTGAAGCAGAAGAATTGTGTTTCAGGCCAGCCTGAGCTACATAGCAGACCCTGTGTCATATATACATATATATATATATATATACACACACACATATATACATATATATGATTTTGTTGGGTGCATTCATATCCGTTCATGTATGCATTATGTGTCACAGCTTCCAGGTGACAACAGTAGAATAGAGTCATTTCAGCATAGCCAGCAATGCTGGAAATATTTACTGGAGGACTTGTTACAGAAGTGGTTTGACCACTCCCGAGCCAGGTAATCCAGCAGCAAGCAAGACAGACCCCGGAGGGTGGCTCACTATAGCTTCTTATCAATAAATCACTTACAAATATAGCCTCAATGGATAAGGATTCCAGCAGCGTCCAATTTCCTGAATGTCACTTTATAATCCCAAGAGGTTTTGCACAGATAATAACAAATGGGTAGCGATACTGTATTGAGCACTTAAAATGCACTTCCTCATTCACCCTTACATAATTGTAAGATGCTTTTATAGGTGAGGAAGCTGAGGCCCAAAGAAGGTTTTGTTTTTTTATAGATGGGGGTGTCACTATGTTGCCCAAGCTGGTCCTGAATTCCTGGGCTCAAACAATCCTCCAGCCTCAGCCTTCTGAGTGGCTGGGACTACAGGTGTAAACCACAGGACCCAGCTAGAAGTTAAGTTCTTGCCCAAGTCAGAATTTGAACTCAGAGTCTGAGCTGTTGCCACATGACAGCATTTGATTTTTGTAAAATACATGTTTAATTTTTTTAAGCAGGCTCTTGCTATGTAACTCAGCTGGCCTTGAACCCCTGATCCTCCTGCCTCAGCCTCCTTTGCTCATTTCTGGCACATGATACCACATCTGTCTTAATTTTAAACTTATAGGGAAGTGCAAAGAAAGCAGAGAGTCCTCTGAAATCTTTCACCCAGTTTGCCCTCATGTTAACATTTTTTACATGGTCAGGTACATTTGTCCCAACTTAACATTCAACACTGGGATGGGTGTGGTGTCAGACACTTGTAATCCCAGCATGGGGGAGACTGAGGCAGGAGAATTGTGTTTCAGGTCAGCCTGAGCTACATAGCAGACCCTGTGTCAAAAAAAAAAACCCACCAAAACAAAACACAATCAAAACCAAAAACCCAACACTGGACCAAACCTCAGACTTCACTTGAATTTCACTGCATGTTTTGTTTTTTCATGGTTTTTCACTAGGGTTTTCTCTTGGGATCCAATTTAGGATGCTACCTTATCTTTGCTCATTCTGCCTCCCGGTCCCCTTGGGCTGTGACAGCTTTTCTGTCTTTCCTTCCTGTTCTTGGCCTTCACCATT